ACGGAATCAACCGCCCGTTCGTACGTCAAGCTCCTTCTTGTGGGCTACGGCGTGGGACTCTCAAACAGTTGGTTACGCGTCAGTCGAAATCTCGGAGGGGCGGGCGCGGTGTGCCATGACCACTCACAACATTACAGGTCGACAACAAATGTATCGTATGCCAGACTACGTTCCCGAATCAAGATCATGCTGCACGGCGTCCACGACGCGCGTGGATTGTTGGTAGGTGCATGGCGGAGCTCACACACCATGTATATCCATGGCGCCAGTCTGCATGCGCACTACAGTGCCCCCTTCGCGAATGTGAAGTCGACTCCGCCGACCAGCGCGAAATCCATGATTATTCTCAGTATCGAGCCCATCTTCTCTCGCATCTTCCGCCGTCGCCATCGGGGCCGATGCGAAAGCCGACTATCAGGGCCGAGGCCCGCCCCGCGAAGTCGGGCCCAGCGCAGCTTCGAGCAGCCGCCTCGCTCAGACCCGCGCCTCGGCCACCTCGCGCGATCGAGGGCGCCCCGGCAGCCAGGGCAGCCCTCCGCCGAGCAGCGGGCCTCATTCTGGGCACGCGCGAAGCTCCTCGACATCGGCCACGCGTCGCTCGACCGCCACGTCGGGCAGCAGCGCCCCCGACAGCGACTCCAACAGCGGCTCCATCCTCCACCGCAGCGTCGACGCCCACGCTGCCAGCACTGCGACGTGAGCACGACGACGGCAGCAGCGGCGCTACCAGGGGGGGGCTCCACCGCCGGGGCCGCGCAGCCAGCAGCCGAGCCGGAGCGCGCGAACTGGCGCCCTCCCCCGTGGACTCCTCCAGGGGCTCCAAGGCATCTGGCGCCGCCTCCAGGAGCGACGAGGGAGCCCCCCCCCGCGGCCGAGCCCCGCCTCCAGAAGCCGCCGATGAAGCCGGGTCAGCCGCCGAGAGCGCCAGTCGACGCGACGATCGAGGCCGACGAGGACGAGCAGGCAGCCATGGGCGACATGCGCAGGAAGCGCAGGGGCGGCCACAGGGCGAGGAGGGGGGCCCGCAGCGACAAGGTCTGGAGCAGCAAGGACAATAACCTGATGGCCCTGCTACGCACCACGCTCAAGCCGCTGCTCCAGACCACTCGCGCGACGCGCCTCGACAGCAGCATCAACATCGACGCGTACACGACGACGACGAAGCACCCACACGTGGACGGGGCCTCCGCCAAGCTGGAGGGCTACAAGAACGTGCTCGACAAGCTCCGCAGCGGAGGCGCGGAGGACAGGCAGATGCTCAAGGATATAGGGCCCACAGCTCCAGCATTGGGGCTCGCCGCGCTGGAGAGCCTCCTGAATTGCGACGTGGGCGGGGCACTCATGCAGGAGATCAGCGCTTACCTGGAGCAGGCCCAGCCGTCCGACGAGATGGCAGAAGTCGAAGTCACGAAGTAGGAGCTGCAGCAGTAGCTCAGCTTCATGCGGCTCGAGCGATGCTTCGACGCGGACAAGACCAAGCTGATCGGTGGGGCCCCAGAGTGGCCAGGCCGCAAGCTAATCATGAAGGCTCTGGCCGCCGAGGGCGTGGCGCAGCGCCACCGCGGGGCGGCGCCAGCGGGATGGCTCAAGGAAGACGTGGCGCACTGGCTGGAGACGCTCGAGCAATAGTTTTGTTAGGGGACCCCCGCTCCCTGCCAGCCGCCACGGCGTACAGGTGCAACGCCCGCGCCCGCCCTCAGAATGCTCAGAGCAGGAGCATGCCGCAGGGCGCGCGCCGCCAGTCTTAGATGACTCAGAGCAGGAGCGTGCCGACGTGCGCGCGCCGCCAGCCTCGGCAGTTTCTGCGGTCGCTTCCAGGCCAGACCCCCCAGCAGCTGCCGACTCGAGGTCGGCAGGACTTTCGCAGCCAGTCTCAGAAGACTCCCGCGGGCTGGAAGCCCTTCCAGTTCGCAGAAGCACACGTCTGCAGGTCACAGAAGCCAAAGTCACGGATCACAGCGAATTACGATACGCGTGGACGCAGGCATGTCGTTACGGGTGTGGATCCAGTCATCCGTGCATCCAGCTGTGGAAACACGTTTGGGCTGTGGATGCATGACGTTGGCGACTCAGCGATAGACGTTGCCTGGACCCCTGCGTACATGTCAAGGATGCGTGCGATTGACGACGGTGTGTTCATGCCGTATTGGTCGGGGAGTCGAGCCGCAAATTTCTACGCCAGACAGGGCGCCAACCAACATCCACAAGAGCGTCCGCGCGGCGGCGGGCCGAGATTGTTACTTCGGGGCTCTGCAGCCTGGAGCGTCGCCCCCTGCCATGCTTCAGCGGCGCGCTAAGGGGGGTAGGGGGGGGTAGGGGAGGAGGAGGAGGAGGAGGAGGAAGAGGAGGAGGAGGAGGAGACTGAAGAGACAGAGGCAGCGACCCAGCCCACACCGCAAACGGTGGTGAGAGTGCTGCGGACGTGCCGAAAAGGAGGGCAGAGGGACGACCAGCAGGTGATTGAAGCAAGGCCCGCGTGCGTGACCAGCATCATCTTACTATGTCCTATCGAAAGAGAACTGCCTTGGCCAGGAGTTGGCCGGGGTTGCCCCGGGGTTGGCCAGATGGGTTGGCCCGGGTTGGCCGGGGGGGTGGCCGGATCAATTCTTCGATGAACAATTTTTGTCTATAAGACATCGTAAGCCAATTAAGCTGGCGTTCCCAGGGACGGTGGGTCTGAAGTCTGTGCGATGCGATTCTGCGCGGTTTCTGTCTCAAGAAGGTCCCACATGATCTCGAGAAGCCCACACGTCCCATAGGTTATGACCTACAGGATCCAGGGTTTGGTGGTTTCGCAAATGCGGGGCTAGATGTGTTTCAAGAGCGCTCTTGATTTCCAAACCTTGTTTTGAGAGACCGCTCCCGGGGGCCGCGAGGCACATCATACAGGGGACACGGCAACCAGGCCTGGCAATGGTTTCAAGAGGTTGGTGCCCATTTTCGCTCGAGCCGATCGCTAATCGTCTGGCGCCCTCTTCATTGTATCATCGTTGATGACTTGGTGCATCGTCTCGGCACACTTCGTCGTCATCCTGAGTCTCCATGGCCTCCAGAGCCTCCTCCTCCGCCTCCGCGGCCTCCTCCTCCTCCTCTTCCCCCTCCCCCCTCCGACACCTCCTCGTCCTCCTCCTCCTCCTTTTCCTCCTCCTCCTCCTCCTCCTCCTGCTCCTGCACCTCCTCTTCTTCCTCCTCCTTCTTTTTTCCTCCTCGTTCTCCTACTCCTCCTTCATTCCTGCTCCTTCTCCTGCTGCTGCTGCAGCTGCTGCTGCTGCTGCTGCTGCTCCTCCTCCTCCTTCTCCTCCTCCTCCTCCTTCTCCTCCTCTCCCCCGCCGCCAACGATGAACTCGGACAGGAATAGGGGGTGATACGGATCGGAAGTGCTTGGGACGAGGCGGAGGCAGGGGCGGGAGCCTCGTCGCGGAGAGAGAATGCAACAATGTTGAATGGGGGGGGGAGGAGGGGGAGGAAGGAGGAGGAGGAGGAGGAGGAGGAAGGAGGAGGAGGAGGAGGAGGAGGAGGAGGAGGAGGAAGGAGGAAGGAGGAGGAGGGGGAGGGGGAGGGGGAGGAGGCTTTAGAGACTCTGGCGACGACGGAGGGCGGTTCTGGTGTGGGCGTTGTGGGGGCGGATTTGGGTCTCAGTGCCAGGAGCAAGACTTCCTCCTCTCCTCCTCCTCCTCCTGCTTCTTCCTTCTCCACCTCCTGCTCCTGCTCCTCCCTCCTGCTGCTGCTGCTCCTGCTCCTCCTCCTCCTCCTCCTCCTCCTCCTCCTCGTCCTCCTCCTCCTCCTCAGCCTCGTCTCCTCCTCCTCTCCTCCTCCCTCCCTCCCTCCCCTTCCTCCCTCTTTCCCTCCCTCCTTCCTCCCTCCCTCAATCCCTCCCTCCCCGCTCCATCCAGCCTCCCTCCTCCTCCTGCTCGTTTTCCCTCCTCCTTCTCCTCCTTCTCCTCCTCCTGCTTCTCCTCCTCCTCCTCCTCCTCCTCCTCCTCCTCCTCCTCTTCGTCCTCCGCGAAAAGAGGAGGAGGGGTAATAGTGCCAGGGTGTTCGGTTGCTTTTGGCGCTCGTGATTTGGGGTTTTATATCCGGGGTGCAGGCTCGCGTCTTAAGACTAGGATGCTCGATTTACGCTTGTGATGTGGGAAGGTGGCTGTAGCAGGGGAGGGGTCGTAAGCATCATGTCTGAGATCTCGGGTAGGGGTAATCAACTTTGGAGTCTTCACGCCACACTTCTGATAACGGCTGAGGTTAGGCCCGTGGGATGTTAGGGTCTTGCGTCAAGGTGTGCTCTCCAAGATGTCAGTTCATAGACCCCGCTTTCACCGTCACTCCATCCGTTTTTTCACCCTCCCTCCATCCTAGCCTCCCTCCTCCCTTCCAGCCTCTGTCCTCCGTCCCCGTGCTCCTTCTAGTCCCTCTTCTTCCTCCCCCCTCGAGACGCACCTTCGCGATCTTCGATCCTCCTCGGCTCGACCCCGACCCTCCTCGATCTTCCTCGATCCTTCTCGAATCTCGACCCACGATCTTCCTCCTCGATCTCTTCCTTCCTCGATCTTCCTCGACCCTCCTCGATCCTTCTCCCTCCTCGATCTTCCTCCTCGATCTTCCTCGATCTTCCTCGACCCTCCTCGATCTCTTCCTTCCTCGATCTCCTCGTTCCTTCCGCGCTCTTCGAGGGCGCAACAGTGACTTCGACTCGCGGGAGGGCCGGGGACGACAGGGCCGAGGGGCCCCAGGGCCGCCTCGCGCGCGGGGACCTTTGAACAGTCACGGCGTTGGCAAGGACACGATCTTGGCACGCTTTGGGCACAAGGCCCAGCGAATTTCCTCGGATGTTTTTGTTTCAGGTGTCTTAGAAAAAGCACAAGTTTTTCATATCAAGATATAGTGTACACAACCGATCAACATGTTTTGGAAGTGGCCCAAATGGCCCGGGGCCATGCTCATTCGACGCGCCTCGCCGGGAGGATCTGGAATCTGGTATTAAGGGTTCTGTCCGACCAAACATGTCCGTAGCCATTTTGGCTCAAGCCGCACAGGCCACAGGCCGAGCCCCGGCCGCGCCCCGCGAGTGCCACCCCGCCCAGCCGTGTGCCACATTAGGCTTTTGCCGTAAGCGCAGGATTTCATGGTGCTGCTGCGCGGGTGCGCACTCAGCACTGCGCTGGCCCCTTAGATACCGTTGGCATAATGCAGTCGGGGGTGGATTTCCAGGCTGCATCACAAGAGGAGTTGGAAAACCTACAGGCCTCTCCTTCACCAGAAGACATGGTGCCGCAGAACAAATCGTCTCGTGCCCGCTTCGCTGCAATATGCTCTTGCACCTCGTGTTGCTTTCTGTTTCTTCCCTTGGGCATCTTCATAATATTCCCTCTTAGCAGTTCTCCTGGGTATCTTCTTGGCGGAGGCGATTCAGATGATACTGGGGAAGACCATCCATATGTAACCATCGACGCATGGAATCGCATTGAAGTTGAACCGCACATCATGACGCGGGGCTTTCCGTACGAGCAGCTGTACGTCATCAAAGATTGGGGCAGTGCCAAATATTGGAAGTCAAATGGCACTCATGTCTACGTTCCATATGACAACGGAACAAATCCCATCCAGGCCAAGTATATCGTATACAGGCATGCCGAGGGAGAATTCGAGATAGGTATTCTTTAGGCTTACGCCACATCCGCCGACCCCTTGAGTTACCCGAGGAGTCGATGCGCGTCAATGTGGGCCGTTGTGGATGCTGCTGGTGGTGTCGAAGCCTTTTTCGTGATGTGTTCTGGAGGCGAGATTTGGCTAATTGGGGTCTTCTTGCAAATCCCTCGTCGTTCTGGTTGGACGGCGCGAATACGGTGCTTACAGATCATGTTGTGCGAGCTGCGCGGTGCAGCGCTCGTCCCAGTGAGCGTGGCATGCTCTATCAGCGTACTTTGACCCCGGGGGGGAAAGCTTGCTTCGGGCGGACCTCTGGACGAATGCTTGGCGCCGTGGAGGCGCCAAGAAACGAAATAGCTTCCCAGGGAGGTCTCCAAAATGTCAGCACTCTTCAACCACTAAGAGGAACCACATGATTTTGCGTTCTCGCCTTTTCGCTTCTGATGGCCATCCGAGGCCTCAATATAGCCCCAAGATGGACCAAGAGGGCCCCAAGACGAGCCCAAGTGAGTCCGAAGACGGCTCGAAAACCGCCCAAGAGCGTGCCAATAATGCTTCAAGAGATTCCCAAGAGGCGATGTTTGGGGCCCCTTGTGGGGCAACGCCAGTTGAACTTCCCCCTGCTTTGGCGATAGCAATGGCGATTGTAATGGCGTTTTCACATATGCGTCGTTCACATGGTTGGCCCTTCTGTCCAGAGAATGAAGGTGTACATTGGGTTTCGACCATGGTGTAGGTGGTGACGCACGGTTCCTGGGACGGTGCTTTTTCTTTTGGTGTCCGCGTGTAGTTTGCGTCGGGCGTTGTTTACGGAACGTGTCCTGGGGACTTCAGATCGTGAGAGTATTCCAGGCGTTGGATAGGGAGCTGGGGTGGACAAGGAGGAGGAAGGGGGGTGTAGGGTGTAGCCGAGGTGTGGGAGGAGGCTCGGGACGTTCGGCGTCGAACCACGGGGTTCCGGACACCCAGATGGGTGTTCGTGTAACTTGCGGTTCCGTCGAGCGTCTCGTGAGTGCCCGTCGAACCAGCGCTTCCGAGAACCCCAAGGGGGTCCTCGTCGAACTGGCGGTTCCGGGGATTCTGCCAGATGTGTTTCGGGGTTCCCAGTGAGACTGAAGTTTCGAGCTCCCTCTGGGGTGGCCGTCCACCCGTGGGTTCCGAAGATCCGGCTTGATGTGTCTGGAGGGTCCTTCGGTGAACTGGCGGATCAACAGCGGCCTCTTCAGGCCGACGACAACGAGACGTATACGGGCGACATGAAATCCATGGGAAAGTCATAGGGGGACGCAAGGGGGACATGAAAGCTCCTCCCTCCTCTCCCTCCTCTTCCGCTTCCGGCGGCGTCGCCGCGCTACTCTCCCGAGCGCCCTGGGCGGCGCAGGTACACGAGGCGCCCTGGGCTCAGCCAGCCTGGGCTGACTCATTCTCCTCCTTTTTTTCCTCCCTCCTCCTTCTCCCCCTTTTTCCCCCCTCCACCTCCTCCTCTTCCCCTCCTCCTCCCCTCCTCCTCCTCCTCCTCCCCTCCTCCCTCCTCTCCTCCTCCTCCTCCTCGTCTCCTCCCCCCCCCTCCCTCTTCTCCCTCCTCTTCCTTCCTCCTCCTCCCCTCCTGCTCCTCCTCCTCCCCCACCCCCTTCCTCTCTCTCCTGTCCCTGCTCCTCCTTTTCCTCCCCCCTCCATTCCCCCTCCCCCCCTTCTTCCTCGTCCTCCTACTCCTCCTCGTCTCGTCCTCCTCCTCCTCCCTCCTCCTCCTCCTCCTCCTCCTCCTCCTCCTCCTCCCCCTCCCGCTTCCTCCCCCCCTCCTCTTTTCGGCAATAGATGCCATTCGGCAATAAATGCCTCTCGGCGCAGCCCGTCCGCCGCTCCCGTTTGGGATCCGGGGGTCCGGGGTCTGGGAGGTTCCGGTGGTTCAGGGGACTCGGGGGCTTGGGGTTTCTCGGCGCTCAGGGCCTCCCTGTGTCCAGGGGTCCATTCTAGGGGTCCAGGGCTCCCGGGGCTCGGGGCCTCCAGACGCTCCAAGACGGCCCAAGAGGCCCGAAAGATCGCCTCAAGACGAGCCAAGAGGCCCCCAAGAGACCACCGAGACAGCCCAAGAGGGCCCCAAGACGGCCCAGGAAGCTTCCAAGACGGCCCAGAAGAGTTCCCAGAACACTCCAAGAGGAGCCCCAGATGGGGAACGCGAGCTGACATTTCGAGCCCTCGCTCACCAGAAGCTCCCAAGAGGCCCCCAGGAGTCCGCAAAAGGCCTCGAGAGGCCCCCAGGAAGCTCCAAGAGGCTTCCAAAAGGCCTCAGGACAGCCCAAGAGAGGTCCGAAGCGGCCCGGGAACACTCCAAGACGGTTAAAAAAGCTGCCAAAGCGTCCCAGCAGGTCTCCGAACCCCCGGGAGGGGCCCAAGAAGGAATTGTCATTGATTTTTAGTAGGTTTTTGAAAGGCTTTGGCCTTCTCCCCAGTTCGGCTTCCAGACGCTCCAACACGGCCCAAGAGGCCCGACATATCGTCTCAAGACGAGCCAAGAGGCTCCCAAGAGACCACCGAGACAGCCCAGGGGGGCCCCAAGACGGCCCAGGAAGCTTCCAAGACGGCCCAAAGGAGCTCCCGCTCCCCCGTAGCCATTTTGGCTCAAGGGAGCGCTGTTCTGGTAGAGCTGCGCGCGACCAGTCTGCGAGATGTCGGCCCGATCAACCTGTCGCTCTGAGCCTTCGCCTGCGCTGGTCGCCGGCGGCGCTTCGGCGCCAGTTGCAGGCGGCACGCCGACGCCAGTCGGCGGCACGGCGACGCCAGTCGGCGGCACTGCGACGCCAGATCTTGCCAGTCCGCCTGCAGGGGAAGTCTGCGAGATGGCGGCTCTATCGGGCTGCCGCTCCGGGCCCTGGTCGACAACGACTGACGGCGTTCCTGCCAAGCTCAGCACTGACGATCCATTCTACCCTGAGGAGCAGCCGCGGGCGGCGCCGATCGTGCCTGCAGCGGCAAATGATGGTGAGGCAGCGCCGCCCGGACGTCTCCCCCTGGTGGTTGCCTTCCCATGCGAGCCCTTGTTCTGCACGGTTCGACCAGAACGGGGTTGTCACCGGTACCAGGTGGCGCCTCAAGAGTACATTTCTCGAGGCGACCGAGAGTTGCGACAGTTGTCCACCAGATAGCCCACGCGCGGTCTCGGATCCGGGCGTGTGCACCTCGGGCGCGCGCAGGTCTGAGCTTTTAGGCGACGAGTCCACCTTTGACGACGCAGCAGTCAGTAACACCTGCTTGGCTTGCAAGCATGGCTCTGCGGAGACGCGTGGCTTCGAGGCTCGTGCCAGGCTAGCGTCCCCTGTCCTGGACAGCCGTGAAGGCTCGGCAGGGGATCCAGCGACCGGGGCCCTCTTCGAGCACGGCGTAAAGATGGGTACGTTCTCAAGTCATCTGCTGCGGGTGCACGAGGCAGTCTCCACGCCCGGGTCCTTCCCCGACCATGACGAGAACAGCAGCGCGATGTCCGACTATTTGCGGCTGTTGGAAGAGGAGAATGTGCGTTGTGTCTTAATGGTCAGGCGGATCAGTCGCTTAGGCTTTCAGTCTGACGACATTCTGGCGACGCACAACTCGCGGTTCGGGCAGGTCAAGCGAGTGCTCGTTCCTCGTTCGAAGGTCAAGAGCCAATTCAGCCGACGAAGGGAAATCGCGTTTAGGATCCGGCCTGGAAGCTTAGGGTTCATTGCGATGGAAGAGTCATTAAACGTTGACCGCATCTTGCGGGCGGGCAGGGATCAGATCGCTGCTGGACTCAGCATCGTTGTGGAGCCGTTTCAGCCGACAGGACCCGCTAGCAACCGCAGCAGCGCGATAATCGTGGGCTAGACTTTGATATGCAAAGCGATGTCGAGTGGTTCGCGACCCGTGATGGTGAAGGTTCCTTCCTCTCTCTCGGTATCGCCTGGCACACTCTCCAACTGCACGGAGACCACACCAGGGTTTTCGTGCAGACTGATGCCATCCGAGTCAAGAATTTGCACGGCGTTTTGGATTGCCAATCGCTCTGCGGATATTGATCTTGGGTCTCGATGCGTCCTCGATGAAGGCGTCCGTCGACATCCCATGTTGATCAGTTTTTCTGAGGTGGAGCACTTTCCCAGGAAGCTCCAAGAGGCCTCCAAAAGGCACCGAAAAAGGGCTCCGCAAGGCTCCCAAGAGACTTCCAACAGGCCCCAAGAGGCAGCCACGAAGTACCCGAGAGGTTCCCGAGAGCTTTACAGGATGCTTCCGAATGACTTCGCGCATCTCAGCAGGCATCCAGCAGGACACTGGCCCATCACCCAGGCATGCTGGCCTCAGGCGCACAACCCAAGTCCCCCAGACAGCTCCCGCAGGTGGCAGCGACGATGAGGAAGGCGATGGCGATAACGATGGTGACGGTGGTGTTGGTGATGACTGTGCTGGTGATACTGACAATGATGATTATGCAGGGGGGCCTCAGGCCCACAACCCAAATCCCCAAGAAGGCTCACGTGGCATGCAAGACGCTGCGGAGATACTCGAGTTCGGCCGGGGATCTTCGGAGACGACGTTGACGAATATGGTGACGATGATGACAACGATTAGGAAGTTGATGATGGTGATGATGATGAAGATGATGACGAAGATGCTGACAGTGGGGATGATGATGATGATGATGATGATGATGATGATGATGATGAGGATGATAATGATGATGATGATGATGATGATGATGATGATGATGATGATGATGATGATGATGGTGATCGTGATGTGCGTGATGGTGATGATGATGATGATGACGATGGTGGTGGTTGTGGTGGTGGTGATGCTGACGATCATGATGACGATGACGGTGATGCCGTCGAGGATGGTGATGTTGATGATCATTATGATGATGCTGGTGATGGTCAGGATCATAACGCCGATGCTGATGATCATGGTGGCGATGCAGTTCATGGTGCTTGTGATGTAGGGGTGGGCTGATGATGAAGATGATGACGATGATGACGGTAACGATGACGACGGGAGGAGCAGGAGGAGGAGCATCAGCATGTGTATAGGGAGGAGGAGGAGGAAAAGGAGGAGGAGAAGGGTGAGTAGGGAGGAGGAGGAGGAAAAGGAGCAGGAGGAGGCAGAGTAGGAGCAGGAGGATGAGGTGGAGGAGGAAGACAATATTGAGGACAAAGTGCTGGAGGAAATGGAAGAGGTGGAGGACGACGACGACGAGAAGGAAAGAAAGGAGGAAGAGGGAAAAGATAAGTAATTGCATGTACAAGCGCGGATCTCATCCAAAAAACGCGGATCAGTTCGAAGAGCTAAGTTCATTCAGTATGGAACGAAGCCCGAAATCAGATCTGAGGCGTCGGATTTGATCCAGAGGTTCGAGATATCATGCGAGATCCTGTGGACACCAGGGCTGGAGACTACATGAAGCTCCCGGAGCTCCCAGGAACAATAGGGAGCCTTAAGAGGTTTACGGACACTCCAGGAGGCCGGGGGTTTCTGAGCCGTTCTGGGGCAGTCGTGCGGGTTTTGTGACCCGTCTTGCAGCCTGCTTGGGTCGTTTCGGAACTTTCTTGGGAGACTCTTGGGCTTTCTTGGGATAGTCTTGCATGCTTCTTTGGCCGTTTGGGGCCCCTTGGGAGCCTCAGGGGCCGCGCGGGTGTTCTTTAGGAAACCTCTTGGCCCGTCTTGGGACCTAAAGAGGGCATCCTGACGCTCCATGGGGGTCCAGGCAGGAATCAGCAAAATCTTGCGGGCTCCGAATTGGCCAAATCGCTTAAGACATCCTCACATTTCTCATAGAATTGGCCGAATCGCTTGAGAAATCGTCGCATTTCTTAGTAGAATTAGTTAAATCGCTTGAAACATCATCACACTTCTAAGTAGAATTGGCCAAATCGCCTGAGACATCCTCACGCTTCTTAGTAGAATTGCGCAAATCGCGTGAGACATCCTCGCACTTCTTCGTAGAATTGGCCAAATCGCCTGAGACATCCTCACATGTCTTAGTAGTATTGGCCAAATCGCATGAGACATCCTCGCATTTCTTGGTAGAATTGGCCAAATCGCTTGTGACATCTTCACATGTCTTATTATAAGTTGCCAAATCGCGTGAGACATCTTCACATTTTTTCGTAGAGTTGGCCAAATCGCTTGGGACATCCTCACATGTCTTAGTAGAATTGGGCGAATCGCCAGAGACATCCTCACATTTCTTCGTAGCATTAGTTAAATCGCTTGAAACATCATCACGCTTCTTATGGGATTGGCCGAATCGCCCAAGACTTCCTCACATCTCTTGTAGAATTGGCCGAATCGCTTCAGACATTTTTTTTTTGTGTTGGGATGTTGGATGATGATTCCCTGATCGCCGTGTCTCGTTCGGGGCTGCATCCATGGATAGCAGTGTCTCGTTTTGGCCTTCAACCTTCGGCGGACGGGGTCGCATTCTTGATTACGATCTCGATCACGTTCTTGATCCACGTGCTCGGCCCGCGTTCTTGCCCCTTTTTCTTGGTCAACGTTTTTGCTGGAGTTGTCTTTGCAACTCATCAACGAAAATCACGATCTCGCTTGACATGTCCCCATAACGTAGGCAGGCGCCGTGCTCTCGACACTCGGAGATCGAGTTCTCGGTGGGGACTTCCGCCAGCTCCAATGATTCAGGCGGAAGGTGATGAGAGGGAAACGCGAAGCTGGAGGGTAAGGAGGAGGAGGAGGGAGGCTGCGGAGGAGGAGGGCGGAGCAGGAGGACGGGGAGGAGGAGGAGGAGGAGGACGGGGGTGGGGAGACACAGAAGGAGCGAGTCGTGAGGCTCAGGACACACCAGCCCGGGAACAATTCATCGTGTACAGGTTCAAGCAGGACGGCGTCCACCAGGGCGGGGAGGGAGGGTTAGCACGATGCCCTGCGTCGTGCGACGGTTTCCGTCGGGACCGTCCCCCATTTCAATGGGGGTGTTTCGGCCGTCGCCACGTGGCGGCCATCTTCGCGCTGGCAGTCATGAGTCAGCCTTGCTGCAGCGCGCAGATTGCAGCAGAGGTTTCAATCTAAGCGGTGTCCTGGTTTGGCGGACACGCCGCCAGCCCCGTCGCACCCTTCTGCGCCCTGCATGGGAGGACTCATCCCTACCTCAGTTTAGTTGCCGTTGACACGACCCTGCGCGCGGGACAACCAGCTCGAAATTCGTCGCTCCCATATCTGCAGCGACCGTAGTGCATCAACTTTTTTTTGTGATACCACGTAACCGTCGTTCGTTGTGATGTCGTCCAGTCGCGGTAGTCAACTTGCTGGAAGCAGCGCGCATGACACTCGACAGCGTGTCCGTGTCAAACACTTTGGCTAGCGTTTTTTCTGCAGCCCCCCAGGACTGCTTCGCCCTACTCATGGTCTTTGGGCATGTCGACGGAGCAGGCTCGCGAAGAATTTGTCCCAGGAGTGAATCCTTGGAAGGGGGGCCAATGCCAGGTCTTCGCATCGCCGTCCGCGTCCCCGCCTCGCGGCCGCGGCTGCGTGGCCACGCGCGTCCGCTGAAACGACGGCTATGCGAAATGCTCTGATCGCGCATCCAATCAGTTGCGTTGGCAATCGTTTTCTCGCCGCGCACAGATGTAGACCACCCGGTCCTCCCCGTTTTCGTTGCGCAGTGTTGTGCTGCAGTTGCATAGTTGTCGACGGCGCGCGCCGTCGCGTGGGCGATGGTCAAGCTGACAGAACATCCAGCATAGTGTCATGTGGTGACCGCGCGCATTATGCTTTGTCCATGCGCTTGTGCGCGCGGGAAGAGGGTTTGGGCGCCCTTCCCTGTGCCCTCCTGGTCTTCCGCCCGCGCAGGCGCGCGGCCACGATCATCTTCAGCGACCGGGCCCTCATCCGGGAGCGAGCGCGGGCCTCGAGCAGCAAGGCCCCCAGCAGCCTCCCGTTCCGGCGGGCCAGCGGGCAAGCCCGGGCAGGCAGGCAGCGCTGCCCTCCTCGGCGGGCAGGGAGGGCGAGCGAGGAGGGAGGACGAGGAGGAGGGGGAGATGGGGAGGAGGAGGGGGAGGAGGAGGAGGAGGAGGAGGAGGAGGAGGAGGAGGAGGAGGAGGAGGAGGAGGGAGGAGGAGGAGGGAGGAGGAGGAGGAGGAGGAGGAGGCGGGGAGTGACACGCATATCAGTATACAGA